TACGGGGTTACCCCGCAAAATGTTTGTCCACTACTCCGTTTGTCTAAACTTAAAATACTTATAACTCATAAACTACTCGTCCAAAATTCGATTTTTACGTATAAAAATACTTAGAAAAATATTCTGCTTTGGAATATGAAATTAAAACTCTAGGTTGTCATTCAAAAAAGTAAAAACCGGGAACACGCGGGAATTTATGGGAACCTTAAATAAATTGTAAGAACGAATTATAGTGTACTAATCATATGACTAAATGATAATATTGTATTGCATATTATACATCTCCATCAATAATTTTAAAATGTTTTTTAGATCCACGAACTGATTTTAGACCCTATATTTACAGAGGTAATTAATTTTATTTAAACTATCGCTATAATCAAAATACTTCCTTATAATATTGAACGACATATTATTTATTTTTCTCTATAAAGCCAAGCTATTATTCTTAATTTAAAGAAATGGATTAAATAAAAATGTCACCATGAAGAATGTACTGTTATAGTTACTTTGAAAGTATTATAAGTATATCAGTAACTCACGTCTCACAAGTCACAATTTTGAAATAATTTGTTATCATTATCAGAACTATGTGTTTATGTCCATAGACAKTTTACCATAGAGTATAATTATTTATATTTTAATAATAATATATAAATAGACTGATTGGTTGGTGAGGTGTAGTTGTTGTAATATTAGTGGTGAGTGGTCATAACGTACTAATAATAATAATAATTAATGATGTTATTTTATCATGTTGATAATATTATACAAAATAAATATTATATATTTATTGCTTCGACATTTCGGCAATTTTTTTGATTTCCGGGAATTCCCATTCCTGGCGTTATCAAGAATTCCCGGGAACGGGAATATTTCTTCTCGGGATCGCTCCTGGGAAATCCCGGAAGTGCCATACCTAGTAAAAACAGCRTTTGTTAACTTTTTTATCTTATAATTTAGGGTTGTAGGGTAAGTATATGTAAACGTTGAGATATTGTTTTCAAATTAATGACATCAACAATCATTTAAGMAATTTAAATTCCATAATATAAACATCCTCTTTCCCTCTTTAAAATTTTAATGTGATTTGTGAGATAAATTTAACAAAATTAATAAAATTGAATGTTTAAAAATTCAAAAAGGAAAATGCTAACCGAAAAAATATGTTTATAATGAAGCCTTATTTTGACAACCGTATAAGTTACTTACAAATTTGGCATACATTTTTTGTATAATATAATATGAAACAGAGAAAACAATTTAAAGATAAAGCGTGCACTTTTAACGACACCACAAACTACTAACTTTAAAAAAACTGCAGCATACCTATTGCTTATGATTATGGCCGACAATTTACYGTTATAAAAAATAACACTTTTTGTTCGCTATCTAGTACCTTTTATGTCCTATAGGGTATAGTATAGATATCTGTTGTTTGATATAAACWCATATATGTCACATTTATAGTTGGCTAATTACAACGTTCAAATAAAGAAAAKATCAAAAAATTACTTGGCAAAAATCAAATTGTGGGTTACGCTTATGACAGTTGATAAAATACAAGAAAATTATATAAAATTTAATATTTCGTTTAAACCTCATTTTCGACTAAAGTGATGATGTTTGTGAACTTTGCTTTTAATTACAGATAATATATTATTATTATAATTTTATAAGCTAAACGCTTTATTTTCATAATCCCATATAAACTCATTGATATTAGCATTCTTAATAAAGTTTTACTTAACTGACCGACATTTCCAAGTACAGCAGTATAATACTATATAGCTCATCATATTCAGAAATATTCAGTAAAAAAATAACTAGTTCTTTTGCATCAAATCATCACGTTGGCCGATTATGCAGACGATAAAGTCATTTTGCCGATTTGTAAAAATCCATAAGCCATCTCATATCTAACCTACAGCTTCACGGCTTCACCTTAATATAAATTATAATTTCTAAATGTAACGATTGTAACGATAAATGGCGCATAAAAATAAACCAAAACAATCGATTCACACTATGTTTACTCTTAAAATCTCAAAATAATAATACTAATCTAGAAGACAAAATGCTAATTTACAAACAAAACACTCCTTGAACATAGTTAGTTACCTATGACATAAGCTTATAAGGTCTCTGAAAGAAAATCCAACACAAACAAAATTCAAGTGTTCTAAAACTTAAATCTTTGATATCCGATGCACCCACCGTAAGTATCAAAACTAAGCTTACACAACGATTTTTTAGGATAATTACCATGTAGTTATATTATATATTTTTTTTAATACTAAAAATAAAAATTTGAACTTTTAAGTTTTTTTTTATTGTTGTAAAAAAATTCGAAATAGCCAATTCGTAAATCTAATCTAAACAAATTGTTGATGGTAAGACTTTAT